TCTCGGCTGAAAACCGGGTATATTTAAATCTTTAGACCCACTTCTTTTGTAACCTCGGCCTTCCACCACCTTTTAAGTCAATGTGTAAGTTTTTATCTATAATAAAGGAAATTAATTTTTTATAGTTCAAATAATGATACTTAACCAGAAATAGTACAATAAAAACTTGTAAATCCGGTTCTGCTCTTCCGCCATTTTAGTGAGTGCAAAAGCCACGCCTACCGGTCCCAATTTTGTATATCAAAAATAATTACATATGACGTATCCTTACGTTGCCAGATCAATGGAAAAGATACTTCAGCACCCATATTTTTTGCTCAAGAGGCACTCGCGAACCATGTTGTTAGCTATCATACACAAGCCAAAATTTTTCCAAAAAAGTATTAAGATTAACAAAAACACCCAATATGCAACAATTTACTGGCTCGCAACGTCGCAAACTATCGATGGATAAAATACTATACGTGTCGTCCGTGACGTACAGTATGAATGAAACAAAGTTATTTTAAATTGCGCTGGTGTCACGTTTAACGCTCTTAAAATCCTTGCATTTATTTGCAGGAATAATAATGGTTTTTGCCATAGTTTATCTTAGTATTTGCAAAGTTAGCAAGCGTATGTATGTAAAAACGATAGGTACCAAAATGCCCTGCGTAATGGTAAAAATAGGTGTTGCTAAAATATCAAGTCTGCTGAAAGCAGTTAAACTAGATTAATCTTTGTACTTTGTACACATTTTATACTTTTTTTGTTTTGTTGCAAGTCATTTTATTTAGAGATTTACTATTAGAAATGTTTCGGGAAATATTGCAACATCTCGGTCCACAATGCGTCGGAGTTGGAAACACTGCACTAGGTACGAAAATGAATTGGTGGGGACGCTTAATGTGTCGCAATATATCCCAAGGAAGATAACATTGCCAAATATCTATTTGTTATTTGGTTTGAGGGATCAAGGATATTAATAATAATGTCACCAATAAATATATCCATTCCTAGCCTTCTTGGTATATTATTTAAGAAATTTTCAAAATCTGTAAGAAATGTATCATCTGATATGGATGGAGATCTATAACAAGGCATTACTGTATAGGGCACACCATTATGACTAAATGTTATTGAGCTTATCGTTACATTTGATAGAGGCAACTTTGTATGTTCTGTTTTAAACTGAATGTTGTTTTTATTATATATAACTACACCATCACATTTATTATTTAAACTTTCATTAAATATATTGATAAAACCAGGTATAATTAAATTATCAAATTCAATAACATTACGTGTTTCTCCTAATATTTATTATATTCAAGTCCTTTAAACCAAAAGTTTTTAAAAATACTAAAAAGTTGTCGTTTTATATTCTCCGAAAGAATCAGTGCTAAATTATTTTTCTGGCGAATCAGAAAATATTTTATCCAGTCCGGCCCTGGCAAGTTATTGGTAAATCTTCTGATGCTTGCACCCCTTTTATCATAATACTGTTTCACCAAAATACGCACGTCCATTGGTTCTAATGGGAATCCCCAATCGGCAAGACACATCAAAGAACTAACAACACAGCTTATACAATACAGCTAAAACACTCTCTTGGCGGCAACGGTTTGCGTCGATTTCGTCGCGCATCGCTTAAGCTCCGCCTTCGAAGGGAAAAGACGGTTTTGGCGTTCAGAAGCGTACTTAGGCAAGGTGTTGAGTCGTGCGTATAATTTCGTTGATTGTATAATTTCGTGGAGCCTATAATTTCGTTGATTTTGTTTGAGTTAAAGGTACTGTTATTATTTTGGTGACTCTTTAGCTATGAGTAGAATGAGTGAAAAAAAAGACATCATTCTGTTTGTGCAGTCAAAAGCTGTTTTAATAAGGGTTATACCTGCAAGAAAACATTCTTTAGTTTTCCCAAGGACCCAAACCGATAAGTACCACATTATAAGAAATTTTCATTGTTAAAAATATAATTTATACAGGGTATCCCATTAGTGCGTTATTGTTCATTATTTTGTTGTAGACACGCAAGAAAGTTTTAAATAAAAGTTATATGGATTTGAAAAATACTTACATATTTTAAAAATATCTTCGGATATACAGGGTGTCACGTTTTTGCCTGGCAAATTAAAATGTATGTTTTTTAAATGGAACACCTTGTATTTTATTTTATGATAAAATTATTAACACCCTAAATTATTGTAAAGACGAATTGATACAGAAAAATTTTATCAGGTATGTGTGTGGTTACCTTTTATTAAAAGCCTTGCGGATCCACTCCTCTGCGATACCTGTCTTAAATATAACAAAGATCACGTTGAATTAGATGATTTTTCTTTTTATTGCTTTTTAAAGGCATATGATAACGCCAATCCAGATACATTTGGAAATCTGCAACTGTCAAATGATGAATTTGTAGAACTAATATTCAATATTGAAAAGATATTTCAAAATAATTTTGAAGAATTGGCTACAAAAAATAACATTTGTACCACACTTTTAGAATTAATTAACCCAATACCCTTTAGTCATCCATGCTAACGTTTTCCAAAAGAATAACTTATTTTATTGTATGTTTAATCTCAATAACTAAAAAATATACTGACAATTAGTTTGACAGAATATGAACGGTGATTGGCGAATTTATTTTTTTTGCAGTGTTCTCACTACCTAGAATGGATATGAAATATATTCGTTCAATTGAAGGCAATAGCATACTTTTTCGTTTTGTAATCTGTGCATGGATATTAGCCAATCTATGCACATACTACAAAACGAAAAAGTATGTTATTGCGTTCAACTACGAATATATTTCATATTCATTTTAGGTAGTGAGAACACTTTAACAAAATTAAATCTACAAATCACAGTTCATATTTTGGTCACCCAACTCCTATTATTTAAATTTTTTTAAATAAGTGACAATTCTGTTAAACTAATTGTCAATATATATTTTAGTTATTGATATTAAATATACATTAAAATTTTTGTGTAGACTCGATAAATAATAGCATTTTTGTTTTTATTGTGTCCACATTTAAAAAAAAAAAAAATTTAATCAAACTACATGATACTAATTTAATTACGAGTATTAAAACTAAAGTCCTGAAAGTTTCGGTGAAGATGAGGACAGAGCATCTGCCTTCCACGCGAAAAGCCCGGGATCGAATCTAGGCCGAGGACTAATTAATTTTTCATGTTAATTTTATTTTATAAATTAGTCAACTTCGTAAATTATTTTAAAATTTGTTATTTTGTCTAAATAACCTAAAATAATTTTTTAAATTTGTAGATTTTCGTTAGTGGGTCGTAGAAAAATATACTGACCATATCGAGTGGATTGTTCATATCACAATCAGACGATTGAGTACTCCGCATACGACGTCGTGCTCAAACTTCGTCTTTGTGTGATATTGCTATCATATCTACCCTTGTTGAACAAACTATAATTTATTTCTTTTCTTGGTTTAAACCAAAACTTAAGTTTTACATCAGAAATAGGAACTAAATTAATTTACTTTTCAAGTTTTCTTGTAAAAATCGATATTACTTTCTCCAAGTACAAATTTAGTACCTACCTAAAATAAGTACTAATTATGTAATATCGTGTAATATTGTAATTCAAATTTCACATTACTATAAAGTTTCAAAATTCCCTACTTCGGTATGGTCAGATAAAAATTGAATATATTATATTAATGAAAACTGTCAAAGTATTACTTCTACAAATCTGTATTTCAATTAATAAGAATACATCTAAATATAACCAATATTGTTAAAATAAAAGCACAAATTCTTTATAATTCCAAAATACCATAGAGTTCCCAGACCTCAGTCGAAGCATTCGTTTATCTAGGTATAAACCCTTTGCGCGAAGAGTAACACTTGCCAGAGACACGGGGTACCACTTGATTTGCGTCCACAAGCGTGACACAATTCTTTAACAATTGAAGCCCTTGGTGTAAAAAGGATCCAAGCCACAATTTGTCGTGAAGTGACTGTTTTAGCTCAAAACATTTGTTAACGAGGATTTTACTAGCCACATACAAATTATTTTACCTCTAATCGAAAGATGTGCTATTTTTCGTAATATTTATATTTAAATGTTTCTAATTATATTTGACAGATTTAAAACAAATTAAAAATTTAATTTCCCAAAACTTACTTAATATGGCATGTAACCAACCTTATTACGCCAAGGTTTTCAATTTTTTCAATATTAAAAAAATTGTTTAATCCGGGCCCGACTTTTCCCTCGAATCTAACAGAGGTAGCACCATTCCGTCTTGCTTGGTTCTCGACCGCCAGATCAAAGACGCCGACACGGAGTTGTGGAGCTGTATTGTATAAGCTGTGTTTTTAGGTATTCCGTATTTAATCTCCAGATTTCTATAGCTGGTTTCTTTCTCCAGCCTTTTTTGAACAGCTTTCTGCTTTCATAATTCTGATATGGCCTAGAACCAAGCCTCTTGATATATTTTCGGGGCATGTCCCGAGTCACCCTGAAAAGAACCTGAGATTAGATTTCCAACGATAAAAAAAAATTAAATTTAGCAGTATAAAAAAATCTTAAGAAAACATTGAGAACGTGTCAACTGAGCGAACAAAACAAATTTTATAGTAAATATCACTTACCTTCCAATAATTTAACACCACAATTTATTGACTTACGAAAACACCCGCGTTTTTCTGCCGCTCTAATGTCTAATATTTTTCGCGAGAACGAAATGTTTTGCAGCTGTGGCTAATGAGACACTAACAACTAATAAGTAAACACGACTTACTGACCAAATTCTGCCGCCGGCCCAGCGTATGCGTCCTCGCTACAATTTTTTTTTCAGAAATGGCGTACACTTGTCCCAAGTCAACCGGCTTTCCCGAGTCACCCCGTTTGACGGTTTTTACATATTGCTAATTTTATCTGTTTTAAATCGCCTTAAAATTATTTTTCTTTCTTGCGCAGAAACAAATAATTTATCAAAAAGAAAATTACATTTTAATATTTTTATTTTCAGGTATACCCACTTCATTGTGCAAATCAAAAGAACCTTACAACGTCAGTGCAGAAAAAAATCTACAACTTTGTTGTGAAGATGCCAAGGATAAAAGAAAAAATAGAAAAGATGAGAAACTAATTCAAAAACAAACTATAACTGAACAAATAATCAACTCGATAGAAGGCAATAATAAGAAAGAACATTTTCAAAGATCAATATCTGCAAATTTTGAGAGTTCAACAAAATGTCCAGGAAAGCATAATTTACCAGCTATTATTGCAGAAATACCTGTTAAGAGAAGAAATTCATTATCCAAAAGTTCTGAAGATGAACAAAAAATTAGCGACAGTTGTAGAAAATCATGTGTTGACTCAGAATATACAAAATTTGATAACCTCAGAGTCCAGTCAATATATCAACGAAGAAACACTGTAATTGGTACTGAAGCGCCTAGAGATTACTTAAATGATCCAAATTCTATCAAATATAGTAAATTAAAAGAAGACGTAGAAAAACAAACTATAGCAGTTAGCAATAATGAAATTTCCTATAAATTGTTAGAAAAACTTGAAAGGATATCTCCAGATTCGACTTTTACTGAAAAGGAAATGAAGTCAACACAATATCCGTCATTAAAACAATTTTATAATAATATAAGTCCTACTTTCACACCTAGTTCAAGTGAAGTTCTCGAAAGCATGCATATGCCTCTACCAGTTAATATCGTACTACCTCATAATACGTCAATAACTCCGATAGTACCAGCTACTAACGAACGATATCAACATAGTTCTCAAATTAAGAGTCCAACTAAGCGAACTAGCAGCAATTTTTACAATTCATCCAATAATAATAATCTTCAAAATGAATATTTACAATCTACTTCGATATTACCAGTTCGAATGGAAACAACAGAAAATAATAATTCTTCATTGCCTAATTTAGATAACCCCATTAACCTATCAGTTAAAAGAAATAATGAGTCAAGCATAAGACCTCCTCTTCAATTACCTTATCTCAATGAATTCAAGTCAAATAATGCAACTCTTCCTTTTCCATATTCTGAAGGAATATTTAAAAATGGCGGTCATTTTCCTGAGATACAACAACAGATTTCTAGATTAGAAAATATGCCTTCAATTAAGCCGTTCGAAGAAAGCTTTGCTAGAGCAATTGTCCAAAGGGTAAAATCTGTTATGTTTACTCCGTTCTCTGTAGACAATTTACTAGTTCTAAACGACTTATATAAAAAACTAATAAACCTTACCTGCTCAAAGAAGTTGTCAAATGAAATATTAAGAAACTTAAAAGATGTTATGGAAGATATAATATTATACACAAATAATAATTTATTTGAAAATAAATCCCAAATTTTCAAAAATTATACTCGGCAAATTATGGAATTTGATTTAGAACATCATAGAGCGTTATTAAACGATGTTATTCATTTATTACGAAAAAATCGTTACGACCATGTATGGATGGGACATTTTCTAATAGTTCTATCAAGAAATCGCCCAGATATGCCACAAATATCACCTAACAAGGGGCCAAATTCGAATCTTTATCCGTCCTTGATGCCACAATATTTTCCTTTAGATGACAAAGAATTACGCCAAAAGGTATATAAATCCAGACGGGTGCAAGTTAAAAAACGTACACATCATCCTAAGTTACCGCCGCATTTAGACCCCTTGTACAATTCGAATAACATTAGAAACGAAAGTTATCCAAGTGATAGTCGATATATTCCACCAAAACCGGAATCGTTTGAAGTTAAAAATAAAAACAATTTAGTAGAATGTAAAAATAAACCCCAGAAAGACCACGAAGTTTTAATAAAAACACCAAAAGTAGATAAGGAAAACGATTTTATAGGAAATGCAGATAAGACGTTTGTTAACGATACTGTAATAGTTAAAGACGAATCAATGGAAGTGACCAGAGAAAATACAGAAATAAGAATAAAAAAGGAAAATGAAATAGATAAAGATGACGTGGTTGTGAAAAGAGTATCCAAAACCGAGATAGTGTGCATTAAGAAAGAAAGTGCTGATGAGAAAAATGAAACTAAAGAGGTTTCCACGGATGACTTACATCTTTTTAAGGAGCTCCTGAAACAAGAAGACAAGAACATTTATAATAGAATCGTAAATAAAATTCTCTATGTGAAAGAAACTGCGAAAGACGTTATTACGATTGACGATGAAGAAGGTAATGTTTATATTTTGTAAATATTTAAATATTAAGTTAGGTTAGGTTGATAATGAGTGTGACGATCTCATCGCTTTCTATTGCGACACAAATGGCTCATGACGTATTCGCTCAGTGCGAAGTCATGGTAGAGGAAGCAAAAGTGATACTAGCGCTAGCTGCGGATAATTCGTGCATTTTAGGGCGATATTTTGTAATTTTGGCGTATCAAATAGAGGGTGTCCGGAAAGTTAACGATAATACTGAAAGGGGTGATGGACCAACTCATAAGCTTTCAGAAACACATAATATGACTTTAGTAAAAAATTGATGGTTTTCGAGATATTGCCACTTTAATAAAATTCGGTAAAATCATCCACTTAGATCAGATTTTCGAGTGTCACTCCTAAAAATATGTATAATTCTTAGATTCTTATTTAGGTTTTGCAACTGTGAATAGCCATTTCAATAAACAAAGACCAACAATGAAGCAAAAGTTCAAAATATTCAATAAGAAATCTTATTTTACAGTTCATCAAATTTCTAGAGGTGTTCGACGCCCAGACAGAGAACGCGCTACGTGTGACTAAGATAGCTATTGTACAGTCTGCTAAACAAGTTATTTTAAATAGTTTTTAATATTTTTAGGTAATTAAATTTTAAAAGGGTGGAATAGTTTAGGGGTTAAATTGGTCTGATTGGACTTTCTTAGAACGTTTTTAAAAGCAGCTAAAGATAGTATGTAGAATTGAAAATAATTATTATGCAATAAAAGATGTTTTGGAATTCCTTCAACCTTTTGAAATTGAGTCAGAAAATATAAATTTTATAGGATAGCGGAAAATACCTATATTTTTTTTGTAGGCCTTTGTAAATCGTGGAAATAGTTTATATTTTATTTCTACCTTATTAAGGAAAATGCTACCTATTATTAATAACGGTTGTTTCTGAAACATTACTAAAATTTTCGAAATTTTGTTTTTCTACAAAATAATAAACTATACTATTTAGAAAAAAATTTATTTCTCTTATAATTTTATAAAAAATAACAGGGGAATATTTACATTTCTTGATCTATTAAACAAAACGATAAATTATCTCGACGAATGACACCATGTTCTAGTACGGAAGCTAGCTTTACATTTTTGTTGGTGATTTCATGGGTTTCATATCAATTTTTTGTAATTGTAGTTTACACGTACATATACCTCTTAACACTTGTTTGCTTTATTAAAAAAGTGTGTTGTTGTGATTTACGTCGAAATAAGTCAAAAACAACTTGAAACCCCATATAAAATCAAAAAGGAGAAACGGAAAAAAATTGAGCCTGTAAATGAACACAACTCAAAAACAAAAATAGCTATCTAATAATAAAAAAATAAAATTTGATTCTTGTGCAGCTTCATCTATATCATTAAACTGTTTTTGGTTTTTTAATGGTTTTTCTTGGTGATGAAAATTCCGATATCTCACGGTTATCGATTCTTTTTTTCTCTCCAGAAATGCGGACGACAGTATTTTTAGATACTCCTGTGGCTGCAGCAACACGATCATTTACATTTTTAAATGGTATTGAAGGTGAATTAAAGTTTCCTTCTCTTCTCATAAACTCTATAACATTGGCTATTATTTCGCGAGATTGACTGTTAATCACGCGGCCTCTTAATTTGCTATTAAACTCCATACTTAGGTTCTATTAAACTGTAGGTAATGAGCAAAAAACACAAACGAAAATAAAAGAAATGTTTTAGCGAAATTTACATCTGACATTTACGTCTGAATGAAATAGTGAAATACTTGATGCGCAGAGTGTACTTTCATTGCGTAAATCCGTCGGGATGCCTGTCAGTAGTGCTTTCTCTGTCTAGCCGTCGAAAGCCTCTAGAAATTTGATGAACTGTTTTTCTACAAACGTCAAAAAATAACAAGGTTCGCGCATTGACAACAATATGCGAAGTGACCCTTTTTTTCATTTTCCTTCGTTACCATGACACCGTGCGCGAGGTAGTGTACGAAATACTTACTTCGCACACTGCATGTAAACTATATGGGATTTTTATATCTTAACCTTTATGTTCCTCAATAAAGCAAAAATCCAAGAAATCATTTATTAATGTATAACAATAATTAAGGCTTTCAAATTGTGAGAAAATTTAACACTACCTAATTTTATTTATTATTTACAATGTTAACATTAATGGTGCAGCCAGTGCATGAACCAATATTTATTCCTAAACCAGATAACTCAGATTCAGCTCGTGATTCGTAGTTTTGGGAGTTGGAACACTATCCATTTTTGATTTGCAAGCAACTGCCGTAGAGTTAACAGCACTTGATCCTGAAATTTCACAGTCTAAAATTTTATTTGATATTTGAATTTTATTGTTGATAGAATCTTCCACGTATCGTTCGGCCACAGTCGAAGATTTCCATCCTCCATGTCGCTTCAAAACACATATATCGGCCACCGTATTAGCAAGGAGTGTGGCTGATGTTCTCCGAAAACAATGGCCCGTGTAGGCATCAGGATTTGGTAATTTTAGGTGGTTTGCTATTAAGCTAGGCATCTTTCCAATACTATTTATTCCAACAACTTGGTTAAAACATCTTTTATTTTGATACTTCAAAAACAATCGGCGACTGGTAGTATAACTTGGACGAAGAGCCGCATATTTTCGGTAAATGTCAATATAATCTAAATTTGAAACTGTAAAAATTCGTTGTATATTCGTTTTTGTATCGGGTACTTTAACAATCAAAATGGAATTTTTATCTTTTATGTCATCGACCGTCATTTTAGTGAGTTCCTCACGGCGGCAAGCACCCGAAATACCCAGTATTAAAACAACCTAAAAGGAAATCAGTAATTTAAAAAACACATAAAACATTCATCAAAAATCTACCTTAACCAACAAATAGGTTTCATCATCTGCCTCTCTTATGAATTGTTCAACTTCCTCTCTAGTCAATACCTTAGATTTCTTAGGATGGTTTCCAACTGACAATTTTTTCAAATATGGAACCAACTTGGTAAATTTCTTAAAATCCACGTTTGCTATAACATTGAGTGTTGCTTTCAACATAGAATATATTGCCCATAACGTGGAAGACTTTAGCTTCTTAGACTTCTCTGCAAAATATGCCAACAGCACATTTTCGGATATAATTTTCTGGCTTTATTTGCTTCACACCACTCTTTAAATTGCTGATATGCATTTTCATACTGGCGCCTCGATTTCTCCGGTAAAAGATTTGAAATTACTAAATTAGCCGCATCTGTCAAGTTAGGTGGGGTACTGCTTACTTCATCGTCGATCGAAATTTCCATTATTTTACAGTTATAAATATCACGCACGAAATTGACGCGAATAAAAATTCACTCCAAAATAATTATCAAGAACTGTCACTTTTAAATAATTGCCAACAAATGCCATTTTATTTCCATAGTTAGTTAGTTAGTTAGTTAGTTACAAAGACATTACAACATATAGACAAAATGTTTCATTCATAAATCCCATACAATTGCGGACTGTTATTGTTTTAAAATTGTTAGTGAGTGGAAGAGAGAAAGACAGATCTCTTATGACCGGCTGGCAACGTTGTAAACAGTGTCCATAATATGCTCGCCAGTGGCGTAGAGTTTTAAACCCTCCAGTATTTTTAGAGTAGTATGTTAAAAAAATACGTAAATATGTAGGTATATTCTTTTAGTAATATAATTATGATGATTTTTTCATGTAGGTAGATTAGATTATGAGTTGGACGTTATTTGTCCTTGTCTACCGCGACCTTTTCAGATCTATTGTGGAATTCCTGTTTGTTTTAGAGTATGTCATCTAGCCTGGTCTTTTTTATTAGTCTAAGTAGCTTTGACAGTGGCTCTCGCATGTAGTTGCATGCAATTGGCTTTTCTTCGCCCAATGTTAGAAACCTCGTTCCAGCCAGGCATTCACATTGGCACAGGACGTGGAATATTGTTTCTTCTTCTTCACAGAACCTGCACAATGTTGCTTCTTCTGCTGGATTTATGACACTCATGTGCCTTTTGAGGCGACAGTGTCTAGTAAGAAGGCCTACTGTTATCCTAACGATTTGATGCTTTTGATCCAGTAGGTCTTTCGTGAACTTGGCCGATGGTTCCTTGATGAACTGTTTGGCTTGTCTCAGTCTTAAATAGTTGTTCCACCATTCCTGAGACTCTGTTTGCATCCATTGTTTAATGGATGCCTTGCACAATGCCTTAGCAACTCCACAGAAGGGTCCGGGGCCTGTCATGGCCTTATCTAAGCCTCCTCGGGCTAATTCGTCGGCCTTTTCGTTGCCCTGATATCCCTCATGGCCTGAAACTCAGGCTAAGGTCACCTTATTTTAACTACTTAGCTCTGTCAGGTCTTCTAGACAGTCTTTCACCAGTCGTGATTTGATTTCTGGTGAGAGAATTGCCTTTAGAGCTGCTTGGCTATCAGAGTATATGACAATAGTTTTGCATGATACTTGCTGATTTTTCATGTAGGTAAATTCAAGTACAAGTAAATTCAAATACAAGCGAATTCAAGGTACCTTTCGATTTTTAATATTTATTGGTTTATAGTTTATTGTCATTTACTATATATTTGCCTGGTATGATGTTAACCAAAAGTATTTAAAATTTTAAATTAACAATAAGTAGGTAGGGGTATCTAAATAAAACACTGTCCTAAAAATATATAATTTTTTAATTAATAATTACAAAAAACATGGTATGGCAAAAAATATCGTAAAAAAAACTGTAAAAATTTTTAAAATAATGTTTTAAATATATAAAATACTTTAATTTTATTAACTAAAATTTCATTTAATTTTTTTATGCTTTGTTATTAATGTTATAACTTACTGCAACGTTTCTTTTTGCAGCAGGTGGTGTTCCAAAAACAGTTGAATCAGAACTAAAAACCCATACATTAGATATACATACATATAGGTAATAAATAATGTTTAGAGGTAAACAAAAAATTAATATTTTGTATTTTTACCTGTTGGAT